CTCCCAAGGGGTCCCCACGGCCGGACCCCACTCCACTTGGGACCCGGATCTCAGTGGCCCCGGGAAGCTTTCTCTCGGACTGAGCTGGTCCGAAATGCCCACAAATCGGAATGAAAGAAAGGAACGATTTGTAGGAGGCATCCTACGGGGCTTGAACATTTTAGCTTTGAAGCCTGTGTTGCACCTTTGCAGGCGGGGCTTCCCCGGCGTCCAGCCCAGCCTGCACACTCGGGGGAGTGGCGCCCCCTGGAGCCCGTTCCCGGCACGCTGGCCCTGGCTGGTTTCAGGCTAGGTTTCCGAGCCGGGACCGGACCTGCAGGGTCTCAAGTGCTGCCTCCCCCGGCGTTGGTTCCGGTCTCTCGGAGCCGGAGCCGTCCGCACCCAACGGGACGGCTTCGAGCGCGTCACCTCGAGCGGGCCTCTCCAGGGTAACCTGACTTCCATCCAAAAACTCCGCTTGTGTTCACTAGATGTCATGACTTTTAATTACATCCTTTCCTTAAAACGACAAGTGCGATCGGAAGCTGTGGGTCTGGGGACCAAACAGGTGACCGTGAGAGGTGTCCACTCGCCTGGTGGGAGCCAAGGGGCAGACCTGGGTGGGCCGCAGGGTCTGTGGGGGGAGGGTGGGGAGGACAGCACAGCCGGGCCCTGCCCAGGGGCCCGGGGACAGCTGCGTGAGCCGCGGAGCCCTCGCTCTCACGCCCGCGGGGTGGCCTGACCCCGGTTCCGTGCACTCGGTCCTCAGCCACCCCTGCCCACCACGCTGCCCGGTGCGATGCCAGACCTGGGCTCCGCGAGACGCTCAAGGAGCCACAGGCTCGGAAAGGAAGTGGCCAGACACACGGTCAAGCGGGAGGGTGGTGTCACCTGCTGGGAACCAGAACGTGGGACCGGCAGGGCCGGGGCGGGGTCTGGGAGCCCGCGCAGGCGCTCCGAGACCCCAGCCAGAGGCCGCGCTTGGTGTTCCTGAGCCGGGCGGCAGGGGGCGCCCCAGACTGCGCGATGGGAGAGCAGCGGCCTCACCTGGGGCAGGGGGGGCAGCAGAGCAGGGAAGAGTCCCCTGGCAACTACTCTGGCTCGCTCCCTTCCCCACGGCTGGCCGAGCCCCGCGGCCTGCCCTTCTCTCTGCGCTGTGAGCTCTGGAGGGAAGCAGGCAGTGTGGCCTTTGTCCACTCCAATCGCCAAGACCAGAACTTCTTTCCACGGCAAGCAGGTGGGGCTTTCAGGGGTGGCCGGCAACATCTGGGGGAGCAGGGCTCCAGACCCGCCTCCAGGCAAAGGGAGGCAGCCAGGCTTCCCAGCAGAGTCACCTGGGAGATTTCACCACCACCCACCTGGGCCGCACCTGGGCCCCACCTGGACCCCACCAGGACCCGCATGGCAGAATCCCACCCTAGGAGGCTGGGGGCTGGAAATCCCCAAGGCTTAAAAGCTTGGCCTGTGGTCCAAAATGTAGTCAGGGGTAAGAACCTCTGCTTTAGACAGTAGCTCCCAAAGCCCAGCCCGGGGCCTGCTCAGCACCCCTGGTAATGGGATAGAAATGCAGAGTCCTGGGCCTGGCCTGAGCTCTTGAATTGAGGCTCTGAGAGGCAGGGGCCCTGGGCTCTGCATTCTAAGGTATCCCCTAGGCGATTCTGCCCATGCCTCACTCTCCTACAGGTGCTCCAGGGGACACCCGCAGAGGGGCGCCTTGGCTGGGGTTTTGCTAGGAACGCAGAGTCCAGGGCTCTCCCCCAACCTGCTGAACCAGGACTGCGGCGGTCCGGCCGCAGCGGGGTCCAGGGGTTCCTGAAAGGTGGGTGAGGCGTCGGCGACAGGAGACAGACGACAGCACGCCTCAGAGGACGGTGACGCTCTGTTCCGTTCATTGCGAGTACAAGCAGGTTTTTATACTTTCATTTTTGGTAGTGATTGACATTTGCGATTAGGTAAAGCAGAAAAAAATCAATACAAAGGTAACCGGGAAAAATACAAAAATTCCCATAGATTCAATTATATTAAACAAAGATTATTTTAACCAGGAGAGCCATAAATCAGACAATTAGAAATAGCTGTACGTACAGAGTTTGAATGTCTTATTGTTTATTAAAGTTCTCAGAATTTGTCATGGGGCAAAAGGATACGCTAATTGAATAGAGGTTATAGGAAATTTATTATAAGGCCTTTGTGGTGTCTAACTTACCTATTTACCTTTTCTGTCTAAAATATTTCTCTATGTACCATGGATTCTGACTCCCCTGGTAACTCTTTCTACATGCTTAATTTATAATAGTTAACCAGCTTTTCTTATTTCTTTGCCTAATTCTATTTGATATATATTCCTATTCAAGATAAAGGCGGGGCTGTTACTCCAACAACTTTTAGACACTCAGGGGCTATTTCATTAGAGGGGATTTTATTCTTTGGTCAAGAAATTATTTTATACAACTTCATTGGAATTATGTGAATTAATAAACCTGAAATATAGATATCTAACAATCCCACCACCTTTTAATCTCCAAAACAAACAGGTAAGGAGAGATAAACAGGAAATTCAGCTACAGTAAACTCTTTTTATTTCTTAGTTAATAAACACCAGGGAGGTCTGCTTCGAGCTAGCCTTTCCATGAAATTTAGACTATTATAAGGCACTTGAACTTCATCCTTATTGACCATTCTAATGCCACCCTCATTATATGCTCCTGTATAAGGCAATGGGAGATCTGGAACCCTCTGGAGACCATTAGCTCCTTTTGGGGGATACCATCATTTGCCAATAATCTAATATGCTACCCAGGGGTATCTCTGGGCTGTGGGTAGGGGTCTATATAGTTTTTTTTCTTGTTTTCTAGAAAGACTCTTTGTATCTGTGGGTAAGGAACAGGCGTGGGAAAGTCCGCCAATAATTCAACCTACTGTAACTGATTCATGAATTCTTTTATGGGAACAATTGAGGATAATTTCTTACTCAGGTTTATAAGCTACTTGTTTAAAACAATCTGGGCATGATTTAATAGTCTAGGGAGAACTAGTTGTCCCTTCAGAATTTCCCTCAAAATCAATCATTGACTCTTTTCGAGCCTCTTTCTTCTCATGGCCTGTTCTTATGGGAATCAGAGTACAAAGTCAGACCATGATTGATATTAGCAAGGAAATTATTAAAAGCAATCCCCCCAAAATTACCGCCCCCCTTTGTATGCCACGCTCTCTTCCAGGAAGATGGATTCCTCGAATGCCCTCTTTCCATGGTCAGACCTTGTCAAAAAACGTGGTTGGAGGAGGGCGTGGCACAGGACCTGCATGTTAACAGGACCCCCGGGCAGTCTGCGGCTCTAGGGTCCCCACTGAACAGGAACAATACGGGACTGGGGGTGGGAACCCCAGCGGGGGGCGCTGCAGAAAGGCTGCTGGGTGAGGGACAGAGGGGTGTCTGACTTCTGGGGGAGGGGCCCTCCGGGAGGGGGAGGGTAGGGCCGTGTGCAGGCCAGCAAGCCAGGGAGGCTTGACGGGCTCGGGAGGTGTGTGGGGTGGGCATGGGCGTGGCAGCGGAGCTGCTAACAAAGAGGCGGACCCTGGGCAGCAGGTCAGAATGCTGAGTAACAGGGGCCTATTGGGGGCGGATTTGTGCAAGTGTGTATCCATGCACATAAGTAATGAACTAAGGGCAGTAGACACGCCCAGAAAGAAGAAACAACAGACACGCCCCCCCCCCACCATCGCTGCTCGGCGCTCCTTTTTCCCGCTACAGTGTTGCACCGAGTGGACAAAGATACAGCCCCTGGCCGTTTATTTTCACCCTTCACCTGGGCGGGGCCCTGAGGGCTGTTCTGACGAAGCTGGGGGCCTGAATCCCTACATTCCGCAGAGCCTCCTTTGCCCGGAGAAGCCGCCCGCCCTCCTGTCGGGGGGGTCAGGCCCCCTCACTGGAGACCCCACACAGTCCCCCCGAAGTTCTTGTCTGCAAGGGGCTGCTGCGTCCTCTCCGGGCCAAGCCCACCGCGTCTCTGCTGCTGGATCGAAGAGCAGATCCTGCAGTTCAGACGTGAGCTCCACGGCGAGGGACAAAGTGTGACCCCCGAGGTCACCACATGTGACCAATGATGGCATCGGAAACGCAGGGAGCAGATACGGGGGGATCGGGGCGGTGACAGAACATTGGGTGGGGCCGAGGGGTGGGCTTGGGCCCGCTCTGCGGAGGTCTGGGTGGAGGGGGGGAGGGGCTCGTTGGCAAGGTTGCTGATGCAGCAGGAGGCTGAGGTGCCTACGATCAGGTGCCCGAAGGCTGGGGGAGCCCCCGAGGTGTGTGCTGGGTGGATCTGTCACCTAAGCCCTGCTTGCCCCCCCCCCACCAGGTCCACCAACGATGAGCTGGGCACCGTGGCTGTGAGAGGGGGTCCCGGCTCCCCGGAAACCCTCTGTGGTGACTCGGGCGGACGGGGGGGGCGGACAGACAGCTGCCCTGGACACTCCCCTGGAGCCCGTGGGCGCGGGACCCCTCCAAGCAGGGCCGCCATCGTGGGTGTCACCGGAGCCTGACCCACGGAGACCCTGGCGCTGCTGCCGATGGAGCCCCGGGACCCGGGACAGCCAGCCCCTTCCTGACGCCGTGCTCACTCAGGCCGGCGGGCGCCCGCCTGCAGACACGAGTGGTCACCGGACACCCGCACTTGCTGCCTGCGTCTCCCTGCGGCCGGCCTGTCAGGGCTCCGGGGCGTCCCGGCCCCCGGCCCCCAGCCCCCGGCCCCCCGGGGGCAGCTCTGCGGTCCCCCTGCCCCTGGAGGGGGGGCTCCCATCCCCCATGGCAGGCTCAGAGACCCTTCTCTCCTGGCGGAGGGGGTGTGGGCTCACTCCGAGCACCGGTGTTGTTGTTGAATTCTTCCCTAAAACCCTTCGAAATGGCCCGAGCAAAGATGTTTTTCTCCCAATTTGACCTGCGGGTCGGATTCCAGGAGTGGCCGCCGGGACTGCGCTGCCAGCAGGGCGCCAGAGGCCCGCAGTCCTCTGGCGGGAGATGAAACAAAGTCAGCGTGACGGCTCCGGTGGGTGACGTCTCCATCCGCCTCCCGGCGGCTTATAAGGAGCAGCCGTGTGCCGGGGGCAGACGCCCGTCAGGCTGCAGGCAGAGGCTGAGGGGACGGGCGGCAGGTAACCCCGGGCAGGGCAGCCGAGGGGAGCAGTGCCCCGAACCGTCAGAATTAAACTGGCCGACAAAGCCTGGGGCTTGGCCTCGGAGTGAGGGCTCCAGGCCACGACGGTGAAGTCCTGAGAAAACTCGAGTCTTCTCGCCGGGCCGTGCTCCAGGGCTGCCCACTCGGGGGGGGGGGGGCGGGGGGAGGAGCTGGGGCCCCGGGGGGTGGGGGCCTCACCTTCCCGGTTCCTCCCGATGCAGGTGGACCCGAGCGAGTCGTCGGTCTGTCGGTCAGTTGGTCAGTGGGTGGCGATGCCCCTGGGGAAGATGAACACCTGCCTGCTGCCCGGGGTGGCCCTCTGCCTCCTGCTGGGGTCTCTGGCGGGTGAGTGGCCTGGGCAGCCGGGGCCCAGTGGGGTCCTGCCCGGGGCTCTCCTGGGTGACAGCTGTCCTCTCCTGTTGCAGGGGCCAAGCCGGTGCAGGACGAGGGAGGTATTGCATCCCTGACCCTGTCCTCGTCCAGGTGGGGGAGGGGGGGGAGGGGCTGGGTGGGCGCTGCTTCTTATTCTGAGAAGGGGGGGAGCCCCGGGTCAGCTGGCGGAGGGCCTGGGCCCCCTCCCCAGAGCACGCCCTGCAGGCCCCCGGGTACCCACCTCGCAGGAGGGAGCCAGACTCTGTGTGGTGTCGGGACCGTCCGAGTTTGGGGACACCGACGTTCCCCCCCTCACACCTGAGTCCTAGTGTGGTGCGGTAACATCCAGACTCCAGGACCGGGGATGTGAGGTCCCCTCTGAAATCCCACCGTGTCCCCACCCCACGGACCCCTCCCTGCTCAGTATGTACCGGACAGGGGCCCGACCTCCCCATCCCCGTCCGTCCCCCTCCTCTGTCCCTGACACCAGGGGTCAGGGCAGGGCCTGGGGCGTGCCCCACAGCTCCTCGGAGGATCTGGGCTGCCCCAGGGGGTGCTCCCAGCCGGGGAGGGGCTCTTCACTGCGCTGGTGCTGCGGGGGCCCCCGGGGAAGGGCCCCGGCGCGGCCCCGAGCGAGGCTCCGTGTGTCTTTCAGACGCCTACGCCGAGCCGCCGGCCATGCCCTACTGGCCCTTCTCCACCTCCGACTTCTGGAACTACGTGCAGTACTTCCAGACGCTGGGCGCCTACCCCCAGATCGAGGACATGGCCCGCACCTTCTTCGCCCACTTCCCCCTGGGCACCACCCTGGGCTTCCACGTCCCCTACCAGGAAGAGTGAGGCCCCCCGCCGGGTGCCCTGGCCGCCAATAAACTCCTGACCTAAGTGCACAACACGCGAGTAGTTGTCTTTGGAGGCGCAGCTGCACTCAGGACCTGGGAGCTTCTCGCGTGTCCCTGCTGGTGGACACGTGACATCAGTGGCGGCGGCTCTGGTCAGGATGTGCTGCTGTGTGTCACCCTCCCGTCCTCCTCATCACGCCCCTGGAGGGGCGCCGCAGGTCCCCCGGAGTGTAGGGGCGGGGGAAACGGAGGTGAAGAGACACCAGGGAGCTGCCTGACTTGTGGACGGGACTCAGGTCCCGTCCAGACAGCTGCTCCCCCAGCCCTTGTCCTTGGCCACTAAGCTGGGCAGCAGCCAGACCCGCAGCGGCCACCCCGGGGCTGGAGGCCCTGCCCAGACGGCCACCCTCATGCTCGGCGCATCCCCGAGAGCCTCTGGCACCAGGGCAGCCAGAGCTCCTCCTGGGAGGAAGGGCCGGGGTTGGGTGTGTGCGCCCTGTGCCCGGAGCCCGGGCTACTGGTTGTGTGCATCAGAGGTAGGGAAAGGACGGCGGGCGGCGTGGCCAGTGTCCCCGGGGACCATCCTCTGGCACAGGTGTGGCCGCCGTGCAGGTGGTGAGGCCTCCCCGGCTGCCGTGTGAGCTGGAGAGCCCCCGGCTCACACCCTGTCAGAAACGGAGCGAAGGGGCGGCAGCCAGCGCTGCAGTGGAAACAAAAGCGTAGGAAGTTTGCTATCTCTGTAACTGCAGATGCTGCATTTGGTCCAGCACCTAATTACAGGAATGGTGACGCCTAACCGGAAATACGTGGGGCTTGGTGAAACGTGCGCGTCACCTGCTAGATTTGGGCGGAGGTGGGTGATGGATGGGGTTTCGTCCTGCGTGCAGTCCCAGGGGCTTGGCCGGTGGCCCCTGAAGGTCACTGAGCCGCCGCTGCTGCTCGGAGCCTCGCGCCAAGTGTCTCAGGAGAGGCCATCGTGCAGTTCTCGCAGCAACAGAGTGGGGTGGTGGGACCCTCCCCAGGCCCGGGCCCAGACACCAGCCGGTCTTCGAGGGACCCAGAGACCAGGGAGGTGGCCGAGGTGCCCCGAGCAGGGGCGGGTGCCTCTGAGGGCACCCTGCGTGCTCCAGCCCTCCCGGAGGCAGCCAGGCCTGTCGCCTCCACTGGTTCCTCTCCCTGGGGCCCGGGTTAAACTCTCAAGGGAAGGACTGTTGGCCCAGCCGATGCTTTTGGGAAAAGCAAATACGTTCTTTGTCTCTCCCCTCCCTCCCTTGAGCTAGTTTGAATTTGGTTTCTGTAAATTAACTGCAAGACCCGGACGTGAGGATTGGTCGGAAGCTCCCACTGGGGACAGCGGCGCCTGAACCATGCGCACGGGGCCAGACACCTGAGGGCAGGATCTCCGTGACGGCGACCTGCCTGTCAGTCCGTGTGTGTGTGTGTGTGTGTGTGTGTGTGTGTGTGTGTGAGAGCAGTTGCCTTCCACGGGACACTCGTGGCCCCGGTTACGACAAGCACTACGCCCTAGCATGCTGTTCAGAAGGACCACAACCCTGGGTGCCTTCCTGGGTGGACCCCTCGGTGCCCTGGCCAGAACCACGTCCCCTCTCGGGTGCCAGCAGCACCCACAGCTGCCCTGGGACACACGGCCCGGCTGCGTTTATGGGTGTCATGAGGGCCCCGCTGACCCTCCCTCTTTGCTCAGAGGAAGAAACCTCCACCCCCAACAATCACCCTCAGCAGATCCCCCGCCCCCCAGGCTGCCCACCTTGCAGCTCCTGGGACGTCTCACACCGGGGGTTCAGGACTCCCACCTGGCTGTGACCCCCCCCCCGCCCCCCTGCATTCGCCCGGGCGCACAGCAGGCTCAGCTCCCTTCCGTGCACCCCTCCCCCTTGGCGCCCCCTCTCGGCCAGACCACGCGGGGCCCGGGGCTGCTTCTGCGTGCCAGCCGTTGTGACCGACGCCGCCGCTGTGAACCCGGGCGAGCGCAGTATCTCGGACCCGCCTTCGCGCTCCTCGGGGTGCGGGCCCGGGAGTGGGGTTGCTGGGCCGCACGGGGGCGACGTTTAATTTCCGAGGACCCTCCCTCCCGGTCTCCGCAGCGGCGGCCGCCCCGTTGTCCATTCCCGTCGCCGCGCGCAGGGTCCCCGCGTCCCCGCGGGCCCTGGGAGTTTCTGGGGTGCGGTCCCCGGGGGCGTCCGTGCTGGGGCGCATCTCGCCCGGGGCGGGGGCCAGTCGCGTGTCCTCCGCGGAGCAGCGTCCGCCCCGGTCCTCGGCCCGCGTTTGAACGGGGCCGTTTGCTGCTGAATTTTAGTTCTCTGCACGTTCTGGACCGTGATTCTGAAGTCAGATACGTGGTTGGCAACTCCTCCCCCCATTCTGGGGCTGCCTTCCCACTACGTTGGCCGTTCCCATTCTTTTTTTTTTTTTCCCTAAATGCCTAACTTTATTTTTTTGTAATTAACTTTATTGACCATGCTGTTGTATTGACCATGCTATTGCAGATGACCCCACACACTCTTTAATGAGAATTCTCTGTGCCCGACCCTTTGGGCTGACCCGTCTGGGGCCGCGGGCCACGCGGGTGTCACTGAGCGGCGCCCCTTGGGCCGCTCCAGCGAGGACGGGGGCCGGTGCTGCGGGTCCGGGCCGCTGGCCGGAGGGAACCATAGAGGCGGCGGTCCTCCGGCGCCTACACCTGCCGCGGCGGGGCGCGCCCCGGAAGAGGGGGCCGGCGGGCCGGAAGTGGGCCGGGGCGGGGGAGGCCCGGAGCGCCGCGGGGCGAGATGAAGCCGGCTGTGGACGAGATGTTCCCCGAGGGCGCCGGGCCCTACGTGGACCTGGACGAGGTGAGGCGGGCGGCCGCGGGCCGGGCGGAGCGGAGGCCGGGGCTGTGGGGCGGGAGGAGCGGCAGGCCGGCGTCCCGGCGCCGCGGGGCGCGCGGGCAGCTGTCGGGGCGACGGAGGCCGGGGCCGTGCTGGCGGCAGGTGGCGCGGACGCGCATCCCGCGGGCAGGCGGGGAGCCTGGAGCGAGGCCGGATCCCGCACCGGGAGCCGCAGAGGCTGTTTGGCACCACGTGACCCTGCCCGCGGACCGGAGGTTTTGCTCGGGGGCCCTGTTCTGCGATCACACGGGGGTACGAGGCGGCCTCGCGCGCGTGCCCCCCGTCGCGATGGCCCTGTCTGCCGCCCGGCTCAGCTCCCGGTGCCAGGCCCGCCGCCGAGGTCAGCCTCGTATTCCGAAAGCCCGGGGCAGCCGCAGTCCGCGCCGGCACGTGCGGGCCCCGCGCCGACTGCACACCCGCGCGGGTGGAGAGGTGGAGGGACCCTGACTTCAGCGCTCTCCCGCCTGCGGAAGGCCCAGCAGGGGCAGAGAGCCGGACTGCAGCCACGCGCTGCGCGGGCCGTGGGCCAGGTGGACGACGGTGCAGAGAGGAGGCCCGCCGAGGCCCTCCCTGTGGGCTGGCTGGGCTCCCCGCACCCACTCAGGGCACTTCCACTGACCCAGGCTGCTCAGGCCTGTGTTCAAGCCCTGGGCCGCATGGAACCACTGGGGGGACTGAGAGTCTCCGACCCGGAGAGTTTGGGGAACAGGAGCCTGGAGGGGTCTGACCAAAGAGGACACTGGTAGGTGGAGGCAGGGACAAGCTCCACCCAGCCCATGGCTTGTGGGGAAGGGCAAGGGGGGAGGTGGAGAATCCCAGGCTTTGGGGACACAGGATATGCTCACCGACTGAGCCTGGGGGCCAGTGGTGCGGGTGCTGCCTGAGGGTGCTGCCTCCCGGCTCCGCTCCAACCTCGCCCTGTGGCCAGGGTGGAGCCTCCAGGTGCTGCACTCACCAGGTAGCCAGCTCTGGGTGTGGCCCGGTGTTGCTGCCACCACGGAGTTGTGGCAGGGGCAGGTCCCCGGAGGTCACGGTTTAGTTCTCAGAAGGAGCAGAGTAGCCCCCGGGCTCAGCGCTGTGAGCAGCTGTGGGCACCCGTGGGCTGTGGGGGCGCCCGGCAGGGCTGTGGACCCGCAGCTTGGGGGCCGGTGGAGAAGTCGTGCTGGGGACAGTGGCAGGGCCCTCCGAAAGGCAGGGGAGAGACCCAAAACACGTCCACCTCCATCCCATCTGCTTCCTTCGCCTCTGGCCTGCGCACTTCTCCGGCTCTGACCCTCTGGCTGTGGGCAGTGGCGGGCAGTGGTGGGCAGTGGCGGGCAGCGGTGTGGGCCCTGGACGGCCGCCCTCTGAAACCGAGGCTCACTCGCCCGTCCTCTCCCTTCCGCAGGCCGGAGGCAGCACGGGGCTCCTGATGGACTTGGCGGCCAATGAAAAGGCGGTTCACGCGGACTTCTTCAACGGTGAGGGTGCGGCCGGGGCGCCAGCTTCAACCCGGACGCCCTTCCGCAGGCCGTGCAGCGCCTGGGCGACAGGAGTGGTTTGGGCCGAGGGACAGGAAAGCCGGACCCCGTGCCGTGCGCAGAACACAGCGGGTCTGTGTGACGCGGCGGCGCGGCTGTCGGCTCTGGCCATCAGCCCTGTCACTCAGGAGGAGAAAATAGCAGGAAATTGCTCCCAGCTTCGCATTCCAGGCGTCGGGCCTGAGCCGCAGACGTGTTCCTGGGTCTGGGCCTAGCCTGTGCGGCGCGGGCACGGGACCAGCTGCCTTTCTCCTCCCGCTCCCCCCACCCCACCCCAGGGGTGGGCTTTCTCACCTTCCATTCGCCACGGGCCCTGGCCTTGTGCTGCCCGCACAGAGGAGCCGCTGCTCTGCGGCCTCCGGGACCGGGCCCCAGGGTGCTCACGCCTGCGGAGCCGGGCGGGAGAGCGGGTGTGCAGTTTGACCGAACGTCGGTGGGGGGCTGTCCCGGAGACCCGCACACATGACCTGGGGCTGTGGTCCTGGGTCGTCGGGTTCCTCGAGAGCAAGTTTCTGCGGGTGGTGTTCACTCTCCCCAGGGGTCCCATCGTCAGCAGAAACGCAGGGTTTCCTGGGGGAGTCGAGTGGTGTCTTCTCCCTCCGTCACCCTTCCTTAAACCAGGGTGGCTGCCACCGCGGAGCACTGTCGCTGGTTAGTGGCAGCTAGGCTGTCACCTCGCCACGTTGGTGTCCAGCGAACCCGTGACCCTCGGGGGCCTGAGTCCAGGCTGTTTCCCGGCTGCTTTTTAGCCCGTCGCTGCCTGAGGGAGGACCAGGCTGCCCGCTGGGGACAGACTTCCCAGGGAGCCCGGCTGCCACCACGCCCTGAGAGAACGGGGGTGGGGGGGGTGACACTGGGGCCGAGCCCGGAGAACAGAGCCCGGAGAACAGAGCAGCACGTCTCTCCGCTCCCAGCAGGAGGGGAGCGACCCCCGAGGGGGCAGGGTGCGAGCCTTCCCCGAGCTGCTCACACCGTGTGGCTCGGCCCGTAGGACTGTGACCTCTGACACCTGACACCGCACGACCCTCTCGCATGTCCTGATGCCCCTTCCGGAGCCTGGCGCACCCTCCGCCGGCTCGTGGCTTTGAGCATGTGTCGGGGGTTGGCGTGCTTTCCTAGCGGGGTCCCGACGGGAGCACGTCTGGGAGGCGCCCGGGCAGACCTTTGGGGGGGCGTTGAGCAGCAGGAGCAGTGCCGGCTCCTCTCCCCGGGTCGGGTGGACAGGGAGGGACGCAGGGGGGCGCCGTGCCAGAGCCCGACAGCCCCCCCACCCGTCAGCTGGTGAAGGCCCCATGTTCAGAAGCCGTCACTTGAGTCCGAGTGGACTTCCGATGGGGCCCCTTCCAGGGCCTTCCCACTCTGGGACCGAGGTCCCGGTGCCCTGCGTCCCAGAGCGATTCGGCGTGAGACAGGGCGGGGGCGGTCCTGGGATGAGGCCCCTGACGGTGTTCCTGGGAGCGGGCCACCAAGCAGAGGCCCAGGGGGTGTCCGGTCAGTGCGGCCAGGCGAGGTCTCCGTCCTGCCCCGGGTTGGGGAGACCTTCGCTGCACTGGGCCGTCCAGCGTTTCCCTGTGCTCCCAGCGACCACACTCTTCCTCTCGGGTGGTTTCTTCCATCATCTGCCTGTCTGCCCCGTGAACGTGTGGTTTTCTCCCCCATGCAGATTTCGAAGACCTCTTCGATGACGACGACATCCAGTGAGGCGCGGGGCGCGGGGCCAAGCCCGAGAGACATGATGACGCGCCGGCTCTGGAGCCCGTGCGGTGCCCCGGGCTGGAGGACACGGCTCCCCGGGAGGGAGGAGGGAGTCGGCCCCGTGGGTGAGCCCGCCCCCTCTGGACGGGCCAGACGCTGTCCTCGCTGCGATTAAAGAGTGATGCCGCCACTCGTGGGTGACTCTCATTCTTGCGTCCGAGTGACCAGTCCCGTCCCTCAAGGTCCCCGCGTGCTGGCGTGCGGAGCCCTGAGGCCAGTCGGCGCGGGTGGAGTCCGGTGAGACCTGTGGGCCGGGCGGGGCCCGCGGGAGCCCCGTGGGTCACACCACCAGGACCTGATACCGGGGCATGGCTGCCCGCCCCCCGCCCCCTGCTCCCCCCGGCCCCCTGCTCCCTGCCGGAGCAGGACCTCGTGCGCACCGCTGCCCCCAAACCTGAGGCCGCACAGAGCAGGACTGGGGGAGTGCCAACAAAGAGCCGCCTTCGGTGTGGGGAGTGTGTGGGGGTCCACTAGGGGGAGTGTGACGTCCAGGGGGACTCAGCGCCCAGGAGGTTTGGGGCTTTTTTAAGTTCCACGCTGCCCCAGCCCAGCAGTGCAGAGCGGCGATCAAGACTGAGACCACCGTTCAGATCCGTCTCCGAGTGAGGATGCGTCCTCACCAGGAAGCCGCGGCGTCCCAGGGCGAGCAGAGCCCTCCTCTGGGCGGGGGGGACTCAGCCCCTCTGGGAGGGGCCGTGTCGGCGGCGACCAGGGCAGCTTTGTGAGCCTGGCCGGGATGGGCCCGTCTGGGGGGCTGCACCCTGGCTCAGCGCCGCCGGGACAGACCTGGCCAGGAGACACGCGCACGGCCGTGTCGGACGACCTTCGCGCAGAGCGAGCCGGGCCCCGGGCTGGCGCGGGGGGCCGCCTCTCCGCCAGGCTCGGCGCAGGCCGGGGTCCGAGCGGCGTCTCAGCGCCGCGTTCCTGAGGGGTCCATGAGCGGTCCTCAGGTCCTAAGTGCGTCCCCACAGCGGGCCCAGGGGAGTCTGGGGGGGCGCACGGGTGTCCGGGCGGGTCCTGGGTGACCGCTGGTGACCCTGCGGCGGCGGGTCCGGCCTTGTCCTCGCGGCTCACGGGCCGTGAGACCGGGGGTGCCCCCAGGAAACACGTGTTTTGCTGATTTGACAGAAAAAAGCTGCGATTGTGATTCATTCACACCGGACAGTTAGTGCCGTGTGGGCTGTGGTCACTTTTTTATCCGGCAGTTTGAGGGGAAGAGGCCAGTGCCCCCGGCTACGGGTCAGGCGCTGCACGTTCGGAGGGTTCTTGTGGCCAGAACCGGCCAGAACCCGCAGTCCTGCCCGCGCTCATGTCAGGGGGGTCACGAGGGTCTGAGGACCAGCTGGGGGCCCCCCTTGTCCCCGTGGGGACCGGCCGGGTCAACTCCCTTCTTGGGCCTCAGCTTCCTCAGTGGAAACGAGGCTCTCGGGCCCTCGGGCCCCCGGTGCCCAGCTCTCTGACTTCAGTGGTGGCGGGGGTTGGTGGAGGTGAGGGGGGGCGTTGACACAGTCGCCCCGTGGCCCCGACCAAGAGCCGGCATGCCCTTTCTGACCGAGGCCTTGGGACCCTGCAGCCGCCCTGTTGACCTTAGGACTGACCCCAGTGCGGGCAGCCCCGGGTGCTTGTGCACGTGTGTGTGTGTCACCTGCACGTGTTTAGATGTGTTCGAGCCCTAGGCCGCCCTTGGCCTTGACGGAGCCCTGGCAGCTCCCTCGGTGCCCCGAGGCCGGGGGAACGACTGTCCCTCGTCTCCCAGGACCTGGCTGTCGCCCTTGGGCCCCGTGACTCCCTCAGGACACGGCAGCGTGACCGACTGTCTGTCTGTGCCGAGTCCTTTGGCAGAACCACGGCCGTCGGCAGGGACGTGTTCCTTCGCTCGGACTGAACCTGCCACCGTGGAGACCTGCTTGCCTGTCTCGGGCTGGGGTGCCGGTCCCTGCACCCGAGAGCCCGCCGTGGACGGGCGTCCTGCTCTGTCCGTCTCAGGCCTCGCTGTCGGCCAGGCTGTGGGGCGTCAGGAGGGCTGAGCACAGCTCCTTGGGGAGGACGGGGGACGGGCAGGCACCGGGGGTTGGAGAGAAGCAGGCACGTGCCCCAGAGCCCCCGGAAGGGGAAGGGCGGGCGTGCAGGGAGGCTCTGGTGGGTGGCGAGCAGGGGACAGGGCCCCGGGACTGCAGGACCCACGGACTGAGGCCACCTCCTCTGTGCTCCTTCGGCCAGGCTGGCAGGGCTCCCGCCTCGGTGTCTTCCCTTCGGGGGGTGGGCGCACACTCGGGAAGGCCTCTGATCGGCCCGCCCTCTCGCTCCCACACCTGCCAGTGGGCAGCAGCCAGGCTTCTGGCCGAGGGTGGCAGCACCGCTAGCCTGTCGGGGGCCGTGGGGGGGCCGCCGCTGAGCGGGTGGTACCCTTGAAGGTGGCGAGGGTTACCGGGCAGTGTTTCCTGCTGGCGCCAGTGGTTTGGGGCCCTGCTCAGCCACAGGCTCTCGGCAGCGAGCGCCGACGGAGGGGCCCTTTCCTGGACCACGGTCCGGCAGGGTTTGGGGGCGGTGGGGGCGTGTTCTGGTGACCCAGCTCCTCCGAGGACAGCCACTGGGGCCTGTGGAGGAGCCGGTGCTTCTCCTGCCCTCGGGCCGTCTGTCCTGGGCGGGGCGCAGGCCCCTCGCATGCCCCTGGGCACCCGTTTGCGCCAGGGGGAAGGGGCCGGGGCTCAGGGGCCTGCGGGGGGGCGGTGGGGGCATGGCCTCCAAGTTCCCGCACAGACAGTCTCCGGCCCAGGGCACCTCCCAGGCCAGTCACACGGTACAAGGCAGTGTCGTGGGCTTTAGAACCTGCACCGCTGGGAGCACTGCCTGGAGCCAGGACGGGAAAGTGCTGAGAAGGCGCTCCGATGAAAGCTCCTTTGTCCCTCGTGGCCTGGAGACAGGCCCTCGGGGGCCGGCCTGGGGGTGAAGGGGCTGAGTCCCTGCACAGCCTGTGTGCCCCCCCCACGCCCCACCCCCACCCCCGGGGACCGGCTCCCTTCCCTGCGTCTCCCTGCATAGTGCCAGCACCTGCCCCGGGCCGCGCTGGGTGCCCCCGCCCCGAGCAGAGGGCTCTAGGGCCCACGTGTCCGTACTGGTCACCCCAGGTCGCAGACCGCGCCGCACCAAGGCGAGGCGGTACCGGCTTCATCAGCGCTGTGTGGTGGTGAGGGCCGCGGGACTCTGTGGAGACAGTGGGTGGACGACTGTGCCGGAGGGACAGCCGTCCTCCGTCCCCGCCACCCAGCAGAGGGGCCGCAGCAGGTGCCTGGGAAACGTCTCACTGTGAACAGACCACGGCCTCGGCCACGAGCGGGACACTGAGGGTGGTCGAGGCCCGGGTGCCGCTGGGGCCCCGGCACCGCGGTGGGGCACGGCAGCTCACTCCGCAGGGCTGGCGGGCGGGGTGGGGCCGGGTCTCGCCCGGGGCCCCGGAAGTGTGAGGGGCGCTGGGGAGCGGACGGCTGTCCTTCCTGTCTCGGGGTCTGCCCCCAGTGGGGTCCCACGCCGTGGGCTTTGGTTCCCAGTTCGCAGCTGCAGCCGAGAAGGAAGGCCTGGCCTTCGAGGCCAACGGCGCTCGCTCGCATGAGCTCTGAGGGGGGGCTGGTTTCACGGCTGAGTCCCCGAGCTTGGGGAAACTGCCCCCCAGGACCCGGCGGCCCCGCAGGTGGGGCGCGGGTTTGCCTGAGGACAGTGAGCTGGCGCTTCCAGACGGGGCGCCTCCTCCGCTGGCGCAGGCCCCGCGGCACCGTGATTTCTGCTTGGCGAGGGCGCCCCCGCATCCTGGCGGTGGGGGGGGTGTGCATGGTTCCAGTCGCCTGTGGGTGGGCAGTGGACGCCTCCCACGGGAGGGGACCTGCGGGGGGACACAGGACGGCTTGTCCCCGCTGCCGTCCTTGGATGGTGCCGTTGGTGTGGTTGTTTGTTTTCTTTTTTTCCTTTCGAGTCAACTCAAGTCTTTATTTTGCTGAGACCTAATGTACCCTGACACTTGGAAGGCCCACCCCTGTCCCCGAGGTGCCCAGCGCGGTTGAGAAACTGTTGGGACAGCCCGCTGGGACTCTGCTGAGACAGGAAACCGCTGGACCCGCCGCGGCAACAGCCTTTGGGGCAGCTGGCTGTGGTTCCCTCCACCGAGTGTCTTGCTGATGGTCCCGGTGACTCCCGCGAATCCGCTCCTTGAAAGCCCCCTTTGTGTCCGGCACGGCGTCCTGAGAACGGTCCCGGGGCGGGGGGTGTGGGGGGCACTCGGTTTGCAGGGGAGCCAACACCTGACAGGGGACGGGCACCTGACCGGGGACGGGCAGCGCGGGGCTGTGCCCGGAGCAGGACGCTCGGGCCCAGGTCAGGGCTCTGCCCGCCGGCATGCGAGACCCGGAGGAAGTCATTGAACTCCCTGCCCCCGTTCCCACCGACACAGAGGAAAGTCACACTCAGCTCAAGGGAAGAGGAACAGCCCTGGCTGGTGCAGCTCAGTGGACTGAGTGCCGGTCTGCAAACCAAAGGGTCGCTGGTTCGATTCCCGGGTAGTGGGGTAGCGGGCCAGGTCCCCAGTAGGGGGTGCTCAAGAGGCAGCCACACGTTCACGTTTCTCTCCCTTTCTCCCTCCCTCCCTTCCCATCTGTCTGAAGATAAATGAATAAAAATCTTAAGAAAAGAAAAGAGGAACAACTTCTGTTGAGCAGAAGGTGCCCTCAGGGGCCCAAGCAGCTGCAGACTGGGGACCGTCAGCAGAGGGCGCTGCGCCTCGAGGCCACAGTGACGGAAGGAGCCGGACAGAGTCCGGGTCGCGGCTCTGTCTGTACGACGTCCCGGTGCAGACGAGGCTGACCCAGGGGTGCAGCTCAGAGAGGTGCCTTGGGGTTAGCGGAGGTGAGCGAGGGAGGGTGGACTGGAAAAGTGGGGGCTGGTTACACGGTTGCATTCAACCGCCGGTGCTCCTCCTCAAACTGAAGGTCCCAGGCATGTGCGTTTGGGTGCACGCACCTTGTCCTTCTGCAGCCGTTTCAAGGCCAAGCGTCGGCGTCAGCTGGGGCCGCCGTCCCAGAGCACTGGACGTGGGCGGCCTGCATGGCGGGCAGTTGGGTCTCAGACGGGAGGCTGCACGTC